AAAAAAAAAAAAAAAAGCTGCAGAAATTAGTTCAACCACAGCTTTCCTCCAGGAATGTTTCCTTGCATCATCTCATTTCTATGCCCCTTCAGCAGAGCCACTGAAAAATGCGAAGAGCCACGTTAATTTGTAAGTGAATTTTCCAAGCAACTTAAATTGTAACAGTTTGTTTAAAATACATATGCTGCTGCCTCATTAACTGCACAAAACTGAATCTTGCCCTTACTGGCTCAAAGTTGTATTGCTTAGTACTGTTTTTGCCCCACACTCAAGGGTTTCTTCTACATTCAAGCTTCTTATAATTTTTCGGTCTGCTGACATAGCTGTGTGTCCACCTAAAGCAACTATACCCCCACCCCACCCATCACTAGGCTATAGGAAGAACTAAAGGAAAATCAGGTTCATTAAACTTGTTCCATCTGGATCTTTCACTTGCACACCATTCTCTGATGAAGGGGTCCCTATACCACCCCAAAGCAGTAAAGTCGGGCTTCCTTAACATGATTTTCATGGCACAAAACTTTCTTTTGCTTATATTAGAGTCTAGAAGATAGGTGAAGAAAGGAATGACTGTCCTCCACAGAGAAGTAATTAATATGTTACACCGTACCTTTATAGGCTCCACATGCCTATTCAAAATTTCCTTTAATAAACTGAGGTCTTCTCGATTCATTGTTGTCACTTCTCCTTCTTTATATTTTGAACTGAACCTACCAGCTCTGCCAGCAATCTGCAAAGCCTGAGAGGTGGTAATTGGTTCTATTTCTTTCTCTCCCTTTTCATTGACAGTGGGCTTTATAAGGGAGTAAAAAATAATTCTTCTTATGCTCCTGAAATAGAAATAAAAGTATTCGCTCAGACTGCTGAATAAAAGACTCTCCATCATTTTGGGTCATTGTAGAAATGCTCACTGCAATTCTAGTTTAGGCCTGCTTACAATCTTGTCCACTGTTTACAAAATAAGGAAAAGAGGTTTGTTAGTAATTCTTTTTCTTCCCATTAAATAGTTATTTTTTAACAAATGTGTAAATTTACTAAAAATCATTAAGTTGTACATTTACAAGGGGTAAACTGTGGAGGATGTAAATTATCCTTCAATAAGGTACAGAAAATAACTTTCCTTTGTAAGATTGATTGATTGATTGATGTATGTATGTATGTATGAGAGAGCAAGAGCACAAGCAGGGGGAGGAGCAGAGGGAGAGGGCCAAGCAGACTCCATTCTGAGTACAGAGCCTGACTCAGGGCTCCATCCCAGGACCCTGAGATCATGACCTGAGTTGAAATCAAGAGTCAGACACCACCGACTGAGCCACCCAGGCGTCCTGAAAATAACTTTTTTTTTTTTTTTTAAACAAATAAACCACATAAAGTGCTCTCAGACTGCTTTTAAAAGTTGGCTGCTATCCCTGGGTGGCTCAGTGGGTTAAGTGTCAGACTCTTTGATTTCAGCTCAGGTCATGATCTCAGGGTTGTGAGATCGAGCCCCATGGAGATCTCTGTGCTCAGCAGAGAGTCAGCTTGAGAGTCTCTCTCTTTCTCCCTCTACCCCTCCCCTCTCACATGGTCTAACAAAAAAACAAAACAAAAACAAAAGCTGGCTGCTATTAATAGCTTTGAATAGTTCTTTAATTCATAAAGGTATAATTGCCTTGATTACCCAGAGAAGAATATTTAGGCATAAAACCTAATGCCTAGTCCCACATTCGTAATGGGCACTCACACACTTGCTGAGAAACTGAAAATACAGTAAAATAACATAACGGGTTAGTGGTAGGGAGTTCACTCAAAACTCCTAGTACTGTGTGCTATTTTCTTTTTATTCCCTCAAAAGATGTAAACAAGATAAACCTCAGATCTGTATTATAATACCCATTCTCCTAAACCTAAATGTTTGGCCATTCTATTGCCAATTAGAAAATATTTAACTGCCATCAAACCCATTGAATATCCATGATTATTTAAAACAAATTACTTACAAATTAAGTCCCATGCCAATTGCATCTGTAGCAACCAGGATTTTGCATGGATCATCAGGATCATTAAACTTTTTTGCTTGAGCAAGTTTGGTCCCTAAAATAAGAAGAGTTTATGTTAGTTCAGCATTCTCAATCTGCCACATCACACCAAGTATATCTCACCTCTCACCTCTTACTCTCCAATCTGCCACATCACACCAAGTATATCTCACCCCTCACCTCTTACTCTCCATTTTTATCAATAAAACTCATTGTTTCTGGGTGCCTGGGTGGCTCAGTCAGTTAAGCGTCCAACTCTTGATTTCAACTCAGGTCATGATCTCAGGGTCCTGGGATCGAGCCCGCATTGGGCTCCACACTGAGATTAGAGCCTGCTTGGGATTCTCTCTCTCCCTCTCCCTCTGCTCCCCCCACCCCACTCACACTTGCTCTCTCTCCCCCTAGGGAAAAAAAAGAGAGAGAGAGATTTCAGGACTACAACTTCAACACAATTACCAAGCTCGTATTTCACATTTTAATATTTTTGTTTTGTTTTGTTTTTAGAGAGAGAGCCAGGAAGGGCAGAAGGAGAGGGAGAGAAAGAATCCTAAGCAGGCTCCACGCCCAGCACAGAGCCCAACATGGGGCTCAATCTCATAACCCTGAGATCATGACCTGAGCCAAAATCAAGTGCCAGATGCCTAACTGACTGAGACACCCAGGTGCCCCTTTAATGACTTTCTGTAAGAAAATCATCAACTCAACATTTAAAATACAGTCCAACAATAGCAGCAAGAACTATGAATTTAAAAACTTCTATCCCTACCAAGATGAACCAGAGAAATTTATTTTATACGACCCACAATAAATTATTAATGTATCAAGTTAATTCAGTATCTTTTACTGCATCTTCTATATATAGCTCGACATAAATGGCAAAAATAAGAGACTTCATATCCCTGTCATGATGAAAGCCAATAATTACCAGGTGGGAGACTGCCATATATAACAGCTGATTCCAATCCCCGAATTTCAATCTGTCGACTCACAGAATAAATATCATTCTTGCTAAAACAGACAATGCAGTCCCCAGGCCGAAGGTTGTCTAATGATTCTAATGCATGATCCAGCACGGAAATGGGGGTAAGCCTCTTATAGTTTCGAACCTACAATAAAGACATGATATTGTAAAATAACACATTTAACTTCTTATGACTAATAACTAAGTGAAAAACTTGCAATGAAATGTAGCTAAGGGGCCCCTGGGTGGCTCAGTTAAGCATCTG